GTTGACTTGGAAGAGTCCCTTAGTTCCTCAAAGAATAATTCATCCTTGTCCTGTCCAGGAGGTCTGTAGTGGACTCCCACGATGGCATCTGCATTATTTGTTTGTCCCTGGATTCTTACCCAGAGGCTCTCAGCTGTGCCATTGGCAGCTGTGAGCTCCATACATTCTGCCCCTTCAATTCCATAGAGTGCCACCCCTGCTCCTCTCCTGCCCTGCCTGTCCCTCCTGAAGAGCCTGGAACCATCCAAGAGGGCACTCCAGGCACAGGATCCATCCCACCAGGTTTCACTTGTCAGCTGTGGCCAGATCCTATTGCCTTTGATTCCCAATGGCAGAGCACTGTGATGACAGCTGAGGTAAATTTCAAGACTCAAAAGGACTTTGGATCACAACATAAGGAAGGAATGGAAGAAAACCACAAAGTATGGAAGTGTAAACTTCTTGTGTCATGCAACCCTTCTGTCCACTGATAACTGGGTACAAACATGCAAAAGACAACTGAATAAAAGGTAATCAGACTTATACCTAATTTTTCAATTTGCTAAATGTTCCCTTGACATCAATTGCTCTCAACACCCAAGTTCAAGCACATATGTAAATAATTAGAGATTAAAAATACAGGAAAAAGAAAGAACATGAGGGAAAAAAAAAAGGGAAGAATTAACATATAAAACTAAAGCTTCAATTTAGCACACAGCTCATTGAAACCTGAGCAAATCCATCTGGCTGAGCTGGGAATTTCTTTACTCCTCTTTACATTATGCACTGGGCCTCTAGATCACCTACACTGTGATTGTATCACAGGTATGCAATCCATGACATTCAGGACATCATGATTGGCTTCTTGGCCATCAAACCTCACATCCTGAATACAAGTATACTACATAAATTAGTAAATCAATCAATCAATCACTTTTTAATTGTGCTATAGCTAGTGTGTAGTGATATATGTTATAGCTAGATTTCTGACATAAACTTTGTTGACAAATCATGAAAAGCATTATTTGACATGTATACTACTTTACAAAAATCAGTCCAAATCAGCTCAGAGTATACTCAAGAGGCACAGGATTCCTCAAGTTAAGAGTACGTAATGTGATTAAAGAGAGGAAACCATTGGCAACTAAGTAAAATTCAATGGAGAGGAAATACTGCAAGGTTAATGATAAGTAAATAAAAAATCAAGGCTGCAACATCTCTTCTGTCACTCTGCAAGCTAATCTTTTGTCAATATTTACTCTTAGCTCTTAGCAAGAGCCTGCATTCATTGGAATTTTGACTGAAGCTCCCTTGACTTTAAAAGCTGATAATTTGTTCTGTCTTTGGGCCACCAGAGAAGTCTCCAACCTAAACAATGAAACACATGTTGAACAGTGTAGAGGCTGGAAGAAACAGGAAAACAGTGCATTTTGATTTGAATCTTCTACACACTTAACAAAAAGTGGAACATTTTTGAAAATGCATTGAACTGTTTGGACGGTATTTTAAAATTGCACACTACCATAAGCAAATAGAATAGCACTGGCATTTAAGACTTCTCAGACTCTTTGTTCAAAATAGCTATCTTCATTCCTGGTGGGACTGCACATGTGTGTTCTGCTCAACAGGCATGAAAAAAAACCCCTAGAGCAGCATTTTTGTCAGACTTTTACCTTTTAAAAGGTAAAAGAAGTAATAGAATAATGTCACTATGTTCTAAGACAATAGCTTTTGTAATAAATGGTATTTTTCTTGGCTTTTCTGTATTGTTTATTTAAACCAACTATCCTGACTCAGGATATCATTTAATGGTGTTCAGAGGTGCCACAAGAGATTGCCTTTATCAGTGCAAGGGTAAGCAGCACAGTCAAAGTCTGGATGTATTTATTCTTATCTGGAGAGCTCACTCCATGACAAACATGAGTTGGATTTGAGATGAGCTTTGTGAGATCCTGAGTGAGGAAGTAAGTGAATATTGGGTGATATCTGCAGAGAACACAAGGAAGAAAGAGACTTAAATCCTCAGATACAGGATCAGTTTATTACACTATTCTTTATTCAGTAACCACTCATGACTATAAAACAAATCTACTAAAAATTCCTTACATAGCCCTTAACCTAAAAAGCTCAATAAAATCTGATTGAAAGTGACATTTTACCTACCAAGTGACAGTATCTTAGATGTAAAAAGAAGTTTCTCTATTAATTATATTAGAGTTTTGAATGAATGCTATGTTTAATGTCTATATGATGCCTCCATAACATAACTTCTTTAAAAGTAAATACAAATGTGCCAGGTTCCTGTTCCTTCTTTTGGCCAGCCTTAGAGTTATATTAATTACTAATGATAGATAAACTGATGTAGATCTTGATTTGACTTGAAGACTTGATGGCAGACTAAAGTGTATTTGTAATTTTTTAGACATCTGCAGGAGGGTGATGCTTGTCCATCTGTCACATCTTGTTTTAACTGTGCAATGTGCTTATTAATCAAGAGACTCATAGGAAACAGTATTATTTTCTGAAATATTTATGTGCTTGTTCTTATTTCATGACCAAGCCCATGGCAATGCTCTTGAGCTCTTTTCCTAGAATGGTAACATCAGATCCATATTTCATTCATTTCCCATAAATAATGCAGCTTGTCTTCTGTGCTGTGTGGGGTATCATGTTATCTGTAACAGTTTACTCAAATATTTTTCAAATGCACAAATGCAATAAAGAATGATTTCTTGTAACACTGGCCTATTTATACCAGTTTTGCCTGATTATTTTTTGAACTTCATTTTCAAAAGGCAGGTATGAGAATGTATTTTCTTCTTTGCATTGCTAACATGTAAATCCTATAGATCAGATGAATATAAGAATAATACAGTCTACTTATTATTCTTTTAATTGATCAAATGACTTTTTTCTTTGAAAATTAAATTATTACACTTATTAAAAGCAAATTGATTTCTGGAATGGATTACATTGCTCTGTTCTAGACTTATGATCCCAAAAATAGTTTTAAAGTTTTGACATTTGTGTAAGCATTCTGAGGTACAGTCATCCCCTTTTTCATCCGTTGTGATTTTCCCCACTACATCAGTGTTTGCACAACTCACAGCGGAAGGCCACCCCTTCATGACTAGTACTTTTTACAATTCTTGCTAATGCTGATCCTTCACAAGTACCACAATTATCCTAGTAACCAATAGAGAATGTAGGTTATACCTTGTTTTGCATAAATTTTATTTTGACTGATTTCTCCTTTCTTTTATACAGAAAGTCTATGTTTTTCTATTTGTTCTAAATGACTACATTGCTTGCTGAAAGACATGTTAGCTGTGACTAATAATATATTAATAGATTGATTAATGGCACCTAAGGATTAGATTTAGTGGAATGAGTTTAACAACACTGATTAAGGCATCTCTGTTTGCATGATGAGTATGATATAAATGAAAGAAGTAAATTAACATGCCCTTACTACATTTAAAACAGACAAACAAACAAAAATGTGTATTGTAATTTGGAATTCTTCTCTTGTTGAAAAGTAGTGTTGCCATTTACTTAGCATTTTCTATCACACCATGATAGATAAGAAACTTGCTTTTATTAGAGTGGAAGAATAGAAATTCAATGCATATAAATTTAGTCTGTGTGTGAAAAAAAGAAAGGGACAAACCCTTCTCTTTCATACAAGGACTTCAGTAGAATTTTGTTTGTCTATATCAACAGTGAACTGGCTTGAAATGCTGTATAAACATGAAAGAAAACTATGTGTTATTATATGGATTCTGTTCCCTGATGGCTAGCACAGTTACATTACTAGAACAGGAATACTGATAAACAATTCACTCTGATTTCTGTCACTACAATTCCATCTAAGAAGAATATTTATTATAACGTGATGTTAAAGATGAATCATTCTGTTCATGTCTCACTTCAATTCTCATTGCTGTCACTAAGAATAAATGTCTACATCTTCCTGGTCCGGGCTCTGACCTAAGCAATCCCTAAGGTATGTCCCTAGTGACACTTCCAGTGGTTTTGGATCTTCACTGTTGTTCAATAGTAAGTGTCTGGGCTCTTCATATGAAGGGAATACCACAAATGGGGGGCTCTGACCAGTCATCCCTTTCTTTCATGTTCAGTAAATCTGTACTTATCACAAGGCAGAGGGATGTTGAGGAGTTAAAAAAAAGAAACCACAAGGAGGTGTAGGTATTTATGGGTTTTTGTGGACACAAAAGCCTATGGAGAATTCTCTTTTCTCATATTTTTGTCTACAGCAGAACTGAACTGACTAAATGTCAGCATCTGCAATGTAGGTATCTGCACCTAAGGTAGCTATCTGTATTTGAGGGACAAAAATGTCAATTTATCTAATCCTAAAGGGGATGTCTCAAACAGGTAAGATGAATCATGGTCGAAAAGAGTCTGTTTCTCTCTACACTAATACAAAGAGCAGAGGAAATGATAGATATTAAAAATTAGGTGAAAATATTTTCCACACTCTAGACAAAGTGTAAAAATATTCCTTTAAATGGTGTAAGGAACAGCTAATACAAATTTCCAGCTAAAAAACATACTAGAAGTCAGCTCTTCTGTAGAATTAAGAATGAATACTTTTTTCCTCCTCCCACAGGAAAATTATAGAAAAATTATATGTCCTGAAACAAAGTGACAGTGCACAGGAAAGTTAATGGAAAAAGGAGGAAAATGTTGTGAGGAAAATGTTGTGAGGAAAATGAAGGACAGGAAAGAGAAGTAGTGTGATATCTGGCATATATCTCTTAGATATATGTCCTGTCTACAAGCAAAAGAAGTAATAGCAATGGTAGCTAAAGGAGCAGAGTGACAAACATGCTAAGAACAAAACAATATCCTCCGCTAGGAGAGCTGCTTTTCTTCAAGGATTACACTCTGAACATGAAGACACTTTTTGATTCAGTTAAGAAAGATCTATTTTGGAGTCTCCAAACACCCCAGCCAAGAGACAGGACTAGTGACACAGAGTGCTGCTCTTGTCTTACCTCTATAAAGAAGAGACTAGCTGCTGATGTTGGATGATGATACATGTAGACAGTCACGAGGATGGCTGCAGCCACAACGAGGACCAGGACCAGGATGCCCACAATTAACCCGGCGTGAAGCGTTCCACCTTTCTTCTCCGCCGCGCTGTCGTCTGTTGAAGCTGCACAAAGAGCACACCTCTTAGCACTGTAACTAATGCCTTACCCATTCCATTATGGCACAGAGGGCAACTGAGCATTTGCTTTTTCTGTGTTACATGTACCTCATTTTCTACAGCCCAAGTTGGAAAAAGATATTAGATGTCTCTTTTCTACCACCGGGTACTCTTATAATCTTAATGAAGAGACTTTCAAAAGTTTTACTGATTCTAATACAATAAATGATATGAATATATTTTCTTTTGACTTAAAATGGACAGTCTGAAGTTCCTAATTGCCTTTATAATACAGTTTGCTTTGATTTTCTTATAAAATTATTTCAATTGTCCCACAGAGAAAAAAGTACTAATTGAATACATTTCGAACATTTTATTTTTCTTTAAATATTCCAATTGAGACATGCCACAAACCCTTGTGAGGTCTAGGTAAACACATTCTGAAAGCCTTATTCATTAGCTTGTAGAAGAGTTTGGAACCGGTCTTTGCAACTGAATCAGACAGCCAAAAGTGCTACAGATGGATGCAAATATCCTGCAATATTTTGATCTTGGTCTCAATAGAATGCTTGTCATACCAAAGTATTACAGAAGACCATTCATTTAATAAACTTGATACCAAGAAGCCACTCATGCTATGCTCCTGTCAGGATAAAAGAGGGTTGACTGTGTCACAAGTCAACAGTCAACAGTGTAACCTCTGGGGGAAAAGTTTCTCAATATATCAACCAACACCTGTAGAACTGGTTGTTCTTCATTATACTCTTGCATACAAGAATTGCTGTTCTGCCCACTTCTGCAGGCAAAAGAGCCATTCAGAAGTCCTAGGTTTAGGAAACACCAGTAGAGCATTGGTAATTTGACTTCACAAACTTCCATCATTCTGCTACATGTTCCTCACCCAGAAGATTCCTTGGCTCCTCAGGGAGGTTGTTACAGCACCAAGCCTGACAGAGTACAAGAAGCATTTGGACAATACTCTCAGGCACATGGTGTGAAACCTGGGAGTGGTTCACTGCAGGGCCAGGAGTTGGACTCTTCGGTCTTTGTGGGTCCCTTCCAGCTCCGCGTATTCTGTGTGTCTGTGTGATATTCCCACTGCTTTCTGCTCTTCTGGAAATTCCTTTAATCACTTTCATGGGTTACTCCATACAACACCTGTCTGGTCTTGCTTATGAGAAATTTTCTTTCAGGCCCACTTTTAAATTTCCTCTCACCATGCTTGTTTGGCAAGCGGACTGTAATGAAAATCATTGATATCTGCAACCATCCATTTTGCTGTGCCATCCCCTTGAAATATTTGTTTGGTTGTCTTAGTGTGCTATGTTCTCTGAGGTCAGGGGCTCCCTTTAATTTGTTCTTTGAAGACAGATATGCGTTATGAGTATCACTTCAAACAAATTACTGTTATTGTTATTAAGAGGAACAACAACAACAATAGCAATAAATGTACATGGTCTTTTACCATTCATCTGATTCGAGTTGAACACTCCACGCTAAAGTTAAAATTGAAAATTGGAAAAATACAGAAGAAAGGCATATTGATGCAGGTAGTGGTAAATGTCTTGCATGAGGGGCAATAAAAGAAAAGAGGAACAGTTAATCTGAGTGTTACAGCACATACACCCATGTATGGCAGCATGTTTCTCTCCAGACTAAGGAAGGCTGCATGGTTGGTCACCCAGCAGATTGCACAGCACCATTGGAACAAAAGGGAGAAAAGGAAAATGAAGATGCATTATCTTAGCCAAGACATATATCTGACTATTACTCCATGTAATAGTTATGCATCTCTGGGGATAGAGAAGGGATTCATGTACATATCCCTTTTGTCCATATTTCCTCAATCTTGATTCAGGACAGTCAAAACCCCACAGTGTTGCTCCGTTCTGTCCCCTAAAGTCAGCGACACTTTGTGGAGGAAGGAACTGAGTAACAGAAATGGAAGATAAAGCAAAAGATCCCAATAGATTGGGAAGACAAACTAGCATGTAGGAAACATTAATGATTTTAATAAAAATTTGAAAGCATGATACCCACTCTGGTACAGCTGAATCCTGCAGGTATCATTCTTTTTAAAAGTTCATGAGTATCTGTTCACAAAGGAACTTCAGTTTTAATTGTACTGATTTTGGACATGAATTTTATGTTTGAACAGGATCCAAAAATCAGGTCTCTCCCTGCTTAAATCCTACAAAGGGATTTACTTTTCTTTCTTAGAGCTTAGTTCATACAAATGTATAGGAGTTTTGAAATGGAAAAGTAGGTGTTGGCCTTTTATTTTATTATTTTATTTTATTTTATTTTATTTTATTTTATTTTATTTTATTTTATTTTATTTTATTTATTTTATTTCACAATACATAGTGTGAACACTTCCAGGCAATTCTTTATACTGAAGTGGAGGAAAGGAGATATTACCTGGAAATCCTATTTTTCAAAATTTCAAAATTGTCTGCTAAAGGGTCATTAAAATACTTCCTACTAGTTAGAGAACTATATAAAAAAGGATGCAAGATTCATAGAGAAGACAGGAAATGAAGGTGATCCAAAAAAAGATTCCTCTTCTTTTCAGACAGCAGAATCTTTTGCTTGACATAGCCATCAATATTCACTTCATTTGAAAATGGACAAATGTATAGAAACACCAGTCTTAGCTTCTGTTCATGCACTGTAACAATATTTAGTACTTGTACATATTTTTCAAATTTACATACAAATGGAAATTAAGTAACTGAAAGGCCATCAGAAAAGGCCTGCTTGATTGTACATCCTCTTGGCTGGACTGTTAATTCCCACTGATGAACAGTTTGTTCTGAGTCACCCTACGGAAAGGGACTGCTCCTGCAAAGGAGCAGAGGATTCATAGCTTGTTTGTTTCATAATTATCTTTTTGACAGTTTCATACTCTTTACTTTAATGTCACATTTGTGCATCAAAAACTACTTTGTCATGTACCCATTTTCAGGCTGATTTGCACTAAATGAGCAATTTGTATTGTTACTATGTTATGGTTGAAGGCATAACATCATATTCTGCATTTTAAAAAGTTCTGGACTTCAGCAAAGGTCCTAATCACTCTATAAAGGTCATCAGTTTAATCCCTTTTGATCTGATATTTTCTCAGCTTTCAGCATCCAGCTTTGCAAACTAGAAAACAGTCTCTTTGAAACAGCACAGGTGTCAACTGCCTGCCCAGATTTCTGCTAGTTAAGGGTGGAGCACTGTGTGGACATCAGTGCAGAATGTCAAATGCAAAAAAGAAAAAAAAAGGAAACAAAAGAAATGTTTTCCTTAAATTACATCAAGTTTAAGTAACTTGTAATTTCCATAATGGAAATTCAGTCCATTTGACCCCAGGGCTCAAATACTCATGAGAAATTGATTTCACTCTCTTTGCACAGAGACAATAAACAGTGTTGTCAACACTGAAAATACTCTACTGCAAAATCAACTGTCAGTTCTTTTAAAAAGCCACCAAGGGAAATAGATAAAAAACAAGGACTTGGAAACTTTTTCAGGTGTAGAAATCTTACTAAGATTATCACAGCATGTCTATTGTTCCAGGCAAGGCTATACCCATGGAAGGCTGCTTGTTTTATGACCAATCTTTTCCCAAAAGGAGTTTTCTCTATGGAACTTACCCCAGACTTTCCTTTTCTTATGCTCAAGAAGAAATTGTTACATATAATATTCTCTATATTTTTAATGTCTTCTCAAAATCTTAAATGCATTAGATTTTTAAGCTGAAGGAGCCTGTTAATATCTCCAAGGTCAGTCTGCTTCTCATTAGGTGCTGAATGACTGGATAGAAAGAGCAAGTAGCCTTTTTTCCCTAATATAAAGGCAGAGAATCCAAACAAGAAATAGCTGTTCTGATACTGTAATGTTTAAAAAAAATAAAAGTGAAAACACAATAAAAATATTCCTATTGTTTCCATTAGAACACACTTTAAAATCTTTGATTTAAAATAACTATTATGTCTCCAGTTACACTTGGGCTAGCTTCTTTTGGAGTAGGAAAACAAAAAAACCTCAAGGAATGAAAATTGAAAATATTGTTTTTCCATGGCACACAGGACTGCAATGCTGACTTTAACAGAACAAAGACACAAACTGAAACTCCTTTTGTGTTTACAAATTGCTACTTGCTTTTTATAAACACATTGGGGGTACATTGGGAACATGATTTTTCTCATAGCTGCATATTAACCCTTGATGTCTGTAAAATAATGAAATGCATTGTCTTATATTATCTAATTTTAAAGTTTACAAAAAGTTTCTACTGTGATAGTTTTATAGATGAGAAAACAAAACTGTGATACATACATTTACACTTCTTATGATATGAGATACAAAAGATTTTAACTTCCAGAGATCTCTCTGTCTGTGAGAACAGAGATACAAAATACTTTACAGGAAAACAGAGGAAAAATAGATGAACTTCTGGTACTTCCTGGCTAGAAAATTTCCTTTATATAAAGTGATGTGGAACAAAAGGTGAATGACAGACAGAAATATAGAATATCATTGCAGACTTGGAAAATAAAATTTTTCTTTTCCCTCTGAAACAGGCATTCCCTTTTGCTTTTGCATTTTGGTCAGATGGTAAAAGACCATCTGGGAAAAAACCTCTGGATTTGAACCTCCAATTCAAACTCACCTTTATGCACGTGAATCATTAAGGGAAAAACACAATACCTTATTTGACCCTCCTGACTGACACACAAAACCAGGGATATAGATGATTTAAATAGCAGCTATCAGCCTGAAGATCATAACTCAATCCCAAACTTGGTTCTTTTCTCCTCTCTTTTTACCAGAAGAATGCATTTTCTCCTTTTTGGTCAGCAAAAGAGCAGAAACCTTCTCTTGCTGCATGTTCTGGGGCAGCTACATCAGGTTCACTCACCAGCCCTCCACCCTATTACATATATAATATCTAGCCTGGAAACTGTCACTCCTGTTTGCATGACTTTGGGTTGAGTTAACAGGCTCCTGCAAAG